TCTCTATCTCGCTTTTTTTTCTTTCTTCCTCTCATCTTGCGGAAAACGATTTTTCCAAGGCAGCTACTCTTGGAGAGTCGGCTCTCACTCTTGAGAGCGGCAACCTTAAAAAAGCGCTGAAAGACGAATGCGCGACATCGGCAGTGCACTCAGCGTTTACATTCCGATTCACGCGTCCACGAGATCAACGCGTATGCAGTCTCAGAAAACGTGCAAATGATGATGTTAAACTGTAGCAACTTCGCGAGAAGTATCCTTAAATTGGGAAATCTTGTTAATTAAGGACTAAACTCGTTCACAAGAAATACTCACGAGTTGCTTTGAACAATTTTCGTATTAATAATACTCTGGAAGTTAATATTTCAGCGTTATAATTAAATCTTGTTAGTTGATAATAGCCTATATCAAATGTTTTCTATTCTGGAATATATAACCACACATGATATCACAGTTCTATTCGAGAATAGTACTTAATTGGGATATATTAATTATTTCGTTATAAATAATTACTTTGTGTCATAATAATCTCTAATAGAGGAGAAAAAAAGAAAGTTATATAGAGTAGAGATATGTATAGATACAAACATATTTAAACAGATATTTAAAAGTATACACAGAAAAATATCATTCTGTTGCCTTGCTAAGAAAAGTACTCAATTTATTTTCTTCTTTTTAAGTAACAGTTTATCTCTTTAACAAAAAATATTTTGATAATAATCTTAAAATATGCTTATTATAAATTTTAGAAACATTCATTATCATGTATCCAAAACAAAAATTGATTTTCTTTTGAAGAATATTACATAATTGATCGAAGAAACAACTTTATATAATAAAAAAAATCTTACTAGGATTTAAAAAATCTTTTAATTTATTAATAAACATTTACAGAAAGGGACTTTAAAATATATTGTTAAATATTCAAAAGTATTTAATATAAATATATGATAAATATATTTTTAAATATTTTTTTATTACTAGATACTCTAGCCACTCTATTACTTTTAAATGTATGCTTTATTATTTCTTAATTAAATTATTTTTTAAGAAAAATTTCCTGCAACGTTTGCATTTCAATTGACACAAATATTGGTATTTTATTCATTTAGACATAGTTAATTTCACTCTCGGAGATTCTTTCGTTTTTCGCGTCGCAATTATAAAATGTTATGAATTTCCGTGTCGTTTTGCGAGCTGATGGACCAGTGTTGCGCGTGTACACACGCCCTGGAGCGCACAGAATGGTATGCCGTAAATATATCTTAACGGCGTTCGGCCGTATATTGATGGGAGGTCTGCTGAGTGTGTTGTGTCTAACAGCCTCTTCCTTCTTCTCGCCAGTAACGCACTGTGCACGCCATCCAGCGCGTGCGTTTCTCATAGTAAAGTTAACGGGTGACTCGAAACATTGTAATCAACAGTCTCAACGCCGATTCAAGGAATTTAAGCTGTGCACTATATATGCACTATGTACAGTAAAGTACCAAAACCAAACGAATATGCTCAACAAAAGTATACTCTCGTTTAATAACGTGAATAAAAATTTGAGACACAGCTAATATTTTCAAAATAAATAAAACTATTAATGCGTCATAGCTTTGTCATGCAAATAATAATAAAAATTAACAATGTCAGAATTAATCTTTAACTCTTATCTGATTTTATAGGAGAGAGAGAGAGAGAGAGAGAGAGAAATGAAAATTATTTTTAAGCTCAAGAAGACGATTTTAGGATTTATTAAGAAAAAAAAGAATTTGACAGCAAATTTAGATTCTATATGCAAATGAACGTACGGATGCACTTAACTTGTTTCGCTAGAAAGGCCCCTTCAAATTCTGAAGTGTTCGATCGCATAAACTGCCATATGGGAACGGGACGTACCTGATTGTCCGGATTGTTAAGGGAGAAGTACCCGAGCACCACAAACAATTCCGAGAGGATGTGAATACCGCTTGTATTCGGCATAGAGCCCACCTCCGATTTGTCCGACAAAGAGTCGCGGGACAGTCGAATTATTAGATGACTCGCTATCAGTCGCCATTGCAGGCTCGTGCCCTCGGCGCCCAAGAAGCTCTGTAACAGAACGTTTTCTGTTTGTAAAAAGAAGTTATGTATATCAATTAATATTTTTATAAACTCTTTTTGATCAGACAGAACTCCTGTAACAGCTCCATCGGCTCACATATAAATCCGATGTAAAGCAATATTCTTAATAGTATCGATATATTCCGCTTTCTCTTCTTTCATCCTGAATTTCCTTCACAAGGTGGACACTCAGAGCTCGTTGAAATTAGAAACCCTATATCAAAATCTAACCACAAGCGATTTTATCAAAATCCTAAAAGAAAGAAAGGTACACACAACTGTTAGATACGAAAGGAGCAACGATAACCCAATCCCTTAAGTTAAATAACATTTTATTTTCGACTTTCATGTGTCGTAAATTAATGTAAATTAATCTATTTCTGTGGTTATAGTTCAAAGTACACATCATCCATATTAATGATACACTTAGTGAATAATAAACTAAATTTGAGTCAAATTTAATACATTTTCTTGAGTTAAATTATTTAACTCCATTGTTTTAGTCAAATTAACGACATACTGGGCAGGAGCAATGGCGAAATAGAAATGATTAAAAATAATTCTTCAATTGAATATAATTTAACATTATGAATTTAACACAGTGTATAATTTTTCTCTGTGTATACTACGACACTCTAACTTACTGTCTCGTTCTATAATTTTAATTAAAGTTATAAATTAAACAGTATAAGTTAGAGTGAGATAGTATAATATATATATATAGAGAGAGAGAGAGAGAGAGAGAGAGAGAGAGAGAAAGAGAGAGAGAAATTACATATATGTATTTTCTCTCGTAGGATTTTGACATAATCGCTCGTGCCCAGACTCTGTAATAGGGTCTCTAGTTAAAATCTAAGATAAGCATTATCGGACTGGCGACCAGACCATCAGCTTAACTTGTCGTGGAAAAACTGAGTGCAAAGAGAATAGATAATAACCGTTGGTTTTTCGACAAATGCACGCGGGGCTCATCTGGTAATCGACGGGCGATCCCGCGGGACGGGGCACAGCCCTCCCACGGGGCACACGATAGCCCTTATGGTTTTTGCGGGGCGAAGGGCGTGAGGCATGGCCGCCTCAATTCAATTCGCGGTTGGCTCGCTGCAAGAGAACTTCACGGGAGGCCTTTACGTCTTGACAGATCGAACCCCCGCGATACATGATATCTCCATCACGCCCGGCGCCCTATGACGATAAGCTGCATTGTTGGCAGCAACAAGCGGCATCGTTGTCATTTGGAGAGGCGACGCCGGGGGTGGCTTGCGGTAATGCCGAATTGCGAAACTGTCTTGAATTAAAAAGTAATGGAGCTTATGGCGATTTAATGGGCGACAGCGTCCCAGCTATCGCTTAAATAGACTGAAATCAAGTATCGATGATCGAGATTCAAAACATAGCCTGAAATAGAATAAACTAACGCTGTGCGTATCTATCACTAGTTACCATATTTTTATCGCGTAATTAATATCAGAATGTAACTATCCGACATCAACCCCGCATGCATATTTCATGAATATGATGAATATGACTGGATATGATCGTATTCGACGAGTAAACTTAAATAGCCGTATTAGCGTGAATTGTCTAGCACAAGTACCAAAATTGGAAAGGAATAAATACTATGGACGAGCCGAGCAACGTCATGTTCATGATGATGAAACTCGGAGGAATGATAATTCAAGAGAGTTGAATACAATAATAGCATACACAGTTCAAAAATGTAACAGTCTATTTAAGAACACTAAATCTCGCATCCAACCGTTTATAACTTAATTGATTTTGCTTGCAGTGCACGCTTTTATCTTTGAATTTATATTCAGACATTTTCTTCAAAACAACATTCTTTTTACACTGAAAAAAATTAATAATATTTCTTTGAATAGTACTAAGTAAATTTACTTAGAACTATTCAAACAAATATTTATTAAAATTTAATATTTTTTCAGTGTATTTGCGCTTTTACTGATTCAATAATTATTTAAAGTCTCGTTTAAAATTACAATACCACGGAGATTTGCATAGAAATATATAAATGCATTGGGACAAAAAGTAACGAATTAATACGTTCAGATCAAAGAGTAATTAATAAATATATAAGTGTGTGTTAATAACAAAAAATAGAAGAATAAAGGGCCACTTATTACAAATTTTGTCGAGACGAAAGTTGCAAAAAGGAATTATATATACCTGCAGCGTCCGAAGATCGAGTTCTGCGATCGATTTAAGGAGCTTAAGGCCGTGGCTGGCCAGGGTCCGCACGGCGGCCGTAAATGTCTGGTTAGGGGTGGGCGAAGCACCTTTCTGATTCTGCGGCGTGTACGCGACCGCCGCATAAAGAGCGCCGATCGCACTCGATGCCTCAGTCGTCGACAAAGTCGACAACAAGTGCGACTCGTTACTCGTTTGCTCGACACCGCTGCTGCTCTCGCCATGCACGCTGACAGTATCTTGATCGACGGACCTCCTCAAATGACTGCAGATACGTGCGAGGAGATCGTAAGACGATACCAGCAACGGCGACTCATGCTCCTGATCCAGAAAAAAATCCGTCTCGATCAGGGCCCGACTGTGGCGTGACACGCGATCCACTAAGCTGCCAGCTACCAGATATCTGAAGCACAAAAGAATCGAGACACGTATTATAACTCTCGCGGATCATCGAAGCCGCATCATTTTTTTTCTCTCGATATTTTTGGTATCCTTGAAGCAGAGCCAAGGAGAATTCCCATAGTCGAGATATTCTTGATTAAAATTTACTATTTCTATAATATGTTCTTATTTGTCACTAGAGTCATTATCATCTTTAACCCTTTGGTTACGGCGGAGTTATATGTACAACTCAATGTGGAATAACTGAATGATGTTAATAGTGTAAAAATATAATTAATTCTTCTCTCTCTCGATGTTGCTCTGGATATAGCATGTCTGGCACGTACTCTTTTTCCTATGTTTTTTCCATTGCTTAATAACTTTTTTATAACATACATTTGTTTGCCGCAATGTTACTTAATGTCTGACATGAAAGTTATAAGCAATCGAATTGGGTTAAATGTAACATATCCAAGTATGTCGCTCCCGTAGTAAAAAATAACATTAACAACAATCGTAGAAAGAATAACATTTTTTAACTGTAGCTAATTATAAATAGTCAAGTATGTTAACAATCGTGTGCAATAATGCTAATATTTCGTCATCACAATAAAATTTTGTAACTAATGAATATCTAAGAAAACGTTGTAAGTAATTTATTTCGCAATATTTCGACATTTTTCTCTATGTACGTTATAACTGCAATGTGTTTTAACTGACCTGGCTCGGATTAATGACGTTACATGCTCTACTATTGGTTGATGTTACATGCTCTACTAATAATAAAACATGAAACGTCATTAATCCAACTCAGGTTGGTTCAAACCCTTGAAGTCGAAAACATTAGTGTTCACGAAATGTTCTTCCTCTTTTACATTTTAAATTTTCAATACATGAAGGTCGATCCCAGTTGTTTCGATTCAGGAAGAATTCTGCGTGTAAGGGTCGAAGAATTTTAAAGAGCATTCTCACAGCGGCACGAAACAATACGAACTCGTCTCGTTGATAGAGTGCAGGAAACACCTGTTCTAAACGGAGAAACGAACAATCCAATATTCAAACGGACCGTCGACCCCTGGACTGACGAAGGATCTCACTTCGGTACTTTCAGCAATCGATGCTCGTCGATCACCGAGCGATCATACGGCAGCGAAGTGTGCATATGGGCGCCAGAGGAGGGAGATGGAACCGGATAAAAAAAAACAATGTATTGCTTACAGGACAGCATGTGCGACGGCGTAACACGAGAGGATTATAACATCAGTGCGTAATTCCGAGAGAAAGAGAGAAGAAAGGGGGGTGAAGGAGCGGCCAGAACGGCGAGAAGAGCGTATAGGGAACTGGGGAGGTTGCGACCGGCGGCGCACGCGATGCTCATTCTATCCGGTTGTTGTATGTATACGTTTTTCTTTCTCTCGCAGACAGCATCCCCTTCCGCGGCCGTGCAAACCCGAGAGGGTGCGTGCCTGTCAGCGTGTATTATCGCCACCCCCTTCGACTCTCTCCTCGGCAGAGACGCACACAAACTCGGGGCGTCAATGAGTATTGGAATATATAATACACGGTGAAAGAGAGAGAAGGAGAGAGGGTGCGCCGCCCTTCGATGCTACGTCCGTGGAAGGCCAACTGTCGCGTCTAATCATAACTAACTGCGAGCTAATCCCGCCGCACTAGCTTCGATTGTAGCGCAAAAAGGGTTGACGATATCGCGCTGTATTTTCCGAACATTATACTACATTATACTCGCGTCGATTGATATTTCCGTCCCGAGCGCGCAGGTTGAAAGACGCGAAATTCCAGAAGATGAATTTTTAACATTCCACTCGTCGACACAAGACGGAATATGGGATCCGGTTTGTCGAGTCGTGTCGCCGGAGATGATTTTCTTCTTTTTTTTTCTTCTGTGCTTGTTCCCCCAATAAGCGCGACGAACGGTTTTAAGCCTGTCGGAGCCAGAGATACGACAATGGACGAATGCGAGTCGCCACGATGACGCGTGATGCCAAACAGTGTGCGACGGGTCTGAGTAAATTCGCTAATAAAATGCAGCGAAATGATCGCGGATCAGAATTGCTCGACACGCTAATCGCCAGCTCGCGCGATTACACGCCGAGAACCCCTCCGCGCCCTTAATCTGCAACAACACGGGCGACAGTTGGGGACGAGGGGAACCGCCGTCTTCGAATGTAATAATTTTGCGACAAGCCGAGTGGCCACCCCGCCTACCTTCTCATTCACCATTCTGCTTCCGTTTTGCTACTCTATGGTAGCGCGGGATTACATCCGTGAAAGTCACTGCACGGAATCGCTTAATCCTTTAACCCATAGGGATAAATCTTTTCGATCCGGGTGATGCTATTCACTCACGGCTCGAAACATTGAATCATACTTTCATAATCATGTAATCGCAATGGGGCACGCTAGCCTGAGAGAGTATCCCCGAAATCACAACCACAAATCAGTCAATTTGATGATTTTTCCTCGATTTAAGTATCGAGAGGAATTTTACCTGCTTTTCAAACTTTAACGTTAAACAAGATCAAGGCCGCTATAAATAGTTGTGCACAAAGGCGCATTAATCAGAGGGCAAAATTAAGTTTCAAAAGTCAATTCTCTATTCCTGTAACACCAACTGTGTGTGCTCGCTTCTATAAGATTTAATTTCTTCCGAAAAATATATATGTTGTACATAAATTTGGAAAAACCGTATCAAAAAATCTGAAATCATTGATCGGATCGGATAGTTGTTTTTCGACGCTATCAAAATCGTTCAGTACAGTCATACTATGCCATTAGCACCAGAATACTAATTATATAATATAACAGTTTCCATATATCGAAAACGTAAAAAGTAAAAAAACTGCTCTATTAACTTCAATGGAAAAAATTTTCACTTTTTACATTGCTGCTTTAAGAAAAAATTATTCTTTAGAACAAAAATAAAAAATTACCTTTCTAAAGATACTTAAAAAATATTTAAAAAAATAGTTTTTTAAATAAATTAATGAACAAAAATATTAAAAAGTATGCGGCTTATATATCAACAGCAGCCCTGAATACTTATACTTTCAAATTAATTAAATTTCAAACTGAGGCTTCTTGTTAAAACATTTCTTGCTACACACTTTGTTTAAAATTAATCAAAAAAAAGATTTCATTATTCATTCGTAAATTTCAAGATGCTTCGAATCTCAATTTAAAAGCGAACTTTCTCGTTAATATTTCTATTAACCTTTACGATAAGGCTGAAGTGTCTTTCCAAGAACGGAGTGTGAGATTAAGTTTTGCTGTTAATTTTCAATTAGAAATTCAATCAGGCGAAAGGTAATTGACCCGTCCTTAGAATATATATATTCCTCAATCTGTCATTCAGTTTACCGCACGCGTACTGGAGGTATCGAAGCGATTCGTGCCAACCAAAAAGATCCCGTGTCCCGATCTTCACGCACGTCCGCGTCAGGGGGTGCGTCGCCCCGCCTGAGATTGCGATCTATCATTGAATGTTTGCGGGGGGAAAGTCTCGAAGCAAATATATCGAATTTATTTATTATCCCTTCGTCCCGCCCCTGCATCCGCGGGAGGGGGAGAGAAAGGGGAAGAAAGAGGATGAGTGGCGAGCGGCTGGCCGTATATACTGCTACCCTGGAGAAGCCGCCATTAGCTAACCATATGATTATTTCATAGCGAACTCGCGAGGGTGCATATCTTTGCTCTTCCAGCCCGCACCCCCAACGAACCGGCGGTTGCTTACGCGATTTGCGCGCTGCACCGCGCGAGTGCACTTACGAGCAGGAAAAAGGCTTTCCGAGGGTAGGCTTACCCCTGAGGAGGAGGGTAATCGAACGGATGGCTCGTAATTTGTGTGTCGTGCCTGGATTACCAGAGAGCGGGGAAATACGTGTCTATCCGGTTTACAGTGTCGCGTAATTCGATTTTTGGACAACAATCGCAAATATCTTTCGTACGTAATAGGAATGTAAAACCGAGGTAGCCTTGGCCATAGCCACAATTTCGGAGATATAACGATACTATGTGTTTACAAATTTATCAAGAATACATATTTTCGGCAATATAGATGAATATTTGTTTCCCAAAGTGCTACACGTATTTAGAGTAATATACGCGCGATGCGTATGGGTGATAAAAATACGTGACTTTGACAAACGAGGCGGAATAAAAATAAGCGGAAACAATTTTTCTGTTAATCCGAACGAATAACGCACTGGTATCTAGCTGAAAATCGCCGCAACAAATTTTTCGTGAACGGGCGTGAGTCAGCCGAATAACACTCCGGAATTAATGCTGTAAATCAATCAAAAATGTAATTTCCGACGTATGTGCGGCTGGAAACGCAAATATTTTGTAGCATGTACTAGGAGAAAGGATAAATCTCTAGTTGTACTATTGATTATCTAGTTGTACTATAAAATTGATACAAACAATGCAGTAATATACTAATCAATACGATAAATTAATTATTAAATGTGTATATATTTTCTGTTCTCCAAAGTGCTACATATTTATATGATATGTATACTGAGAAAAAAAATTGTTCAATTGACTAAATTAATTTAATCTATCTTTATTCCTCTTGATGAAGAATATATTATATTATATTTGACTTAAATACTCCAACCAAAGGAATAAAGATAAAACTAGATTAATTTAGTCACGTGAACAATTAATTAGACAAATGAATAATTTTTTTCTTAGTGTATAATAACATATAAAATTTCGAAATATTTAAAATAATTGTTGATTTGAAATAACTACTATACAGTCCACTCTTCAACGTACCTAAATTTAATGTAAACTGTACTTGAAAATTGTTCGTCGAAGGAATGGTGTTCATAGTAAGAATAACAGAATTCCAGGTCCAGCGCGCTCGTGGAAATATTCCTCTTCGGCGCCGGACAAACGCGCCTGGCAGAAGTGCCATTTCGCTATTTCGACAATAGGGTATGTTTGCGCAACGAAATGGCAGAAGTGTGTAAATGACAGTTGCGTATCATTGAGTCGGAA